TTTATAAATATGTTTAGATTATTGTAATTCGATAGTATTAAAAAATCAAACTGAAAAAGATTGCATAGAGTCTAAATATAAAGTAATTTAGTATTTGTATTCATTTTTAACCTATACTATAGGATTATCTTCAATAAAATGTAATTCTATTCAAATTGTGAAATAATTCTTATTTATACTTTAGCATATGCATGTAAAAGAAGACATTTAAAGAAAACTGCCGTACCAAGTTTACTTTTACCAGAGAGCAGTATTTGTACAAAAACATGTTCTAAAAGAATTAAAAGAAATAAGTTTTCAGAAAAAACGTATCAGACAGAAGAAACTTCCCATGCAATTGAGTCAGAAATCAGTGATAGAGAACAAATAGAAGAAACTTCCCATGCAATTGAGTCTGAAATTAATGATAGAGAAGCTGCTGAAACACTTTTAATGTTATGCAATTCTAATTATGATAAAAATTTAAAATGTCACAGATCAGTTGGCATACAAATATCCACTGCAGAATTTTTGGTAAATATACGTAATTTCATTAAGACAGAATCCCAACTAAATTCCATTACTGGTATACCAACTTTTGAACTATTTAATGCTATTGTTAAACTTTTTAGTGATGTATGTAAAACAAAACAAATCAGTAATACTAATTTTTCTTTTGAAGATAAACTTTTTATGGTCCTAATCAAAATGAAATTAAATATTTCTTTTTCTGTTATATCTATATTTTTTCATTGTTCTGTACCAACTGCAAGTAGAATATTTTACCCAAGTGTGAAAATTCTTGCTTCCGTACTTAAGTGTGCAATTGTTTGGCCATCAAAAACAAATATTTTAGAAAATATGCCTAAATGTTTCGACAAGTTTCGTAATGTAAGAGTAATTTTGGACTGCTCAGAAATTACAGTGCAGAGACCAAAGTGTTTAAAGTGTCGAATACGTTGCTACTCACACTATAAAGGTGACACAACTATAAAATTTTTAATAGGTGTTTCACCAGGTGGAATTGCAACATTTTTAAGTAGTGCATATGGAGGCAGAACTTCTGATAAGGCAATCTTTGAACAGAGTGATATCTTAAATTTATTAACACCTTATAGTGACTCAGTGATGGTTGATAAAGGCTTTTTAATTGATAAACTTTGTTTAGAAAAAGGAATAGAAGTAATTCAACCACCATTTTTGAAAAAAAATAAACAACTAAATAAATGTGAAGCACTGAGAACAAAGGATATTGCATGTGCCAGAGTGCACGTTGAAAGATTTATTCAGCGAATTAAACAGTTTAAGATATTTTCAGCAAGACTTCCCTGGAAAATGACTTCTGTTATTGATGAACTTTTAATTATTGCAACAGCTGTAGGGAATCTTTCTTCTCCTATACTGTCAGATGACAAATTTTAATTCAAAATTACCATATTGTAAATAAAAATTATTTTAATAATTGTGTAATTGTTTATATTTTTAATACATTATCACACACAAGATTTTTACAGTTGTCATTTAATAAGATATTCATACACAAGATTTTTTTACAATTTTCATTTAATAAGATATTTACAAGATAATCTTTCAATTAGAACATCCATGTTAAACAAGCATTATGTATTAGAAAAGAAAAAACTTTTTAAATGTTTATATACTTTTAATCTACTCATTACTTTCATTAACTAAAAATGGAAGCATTTTATTAAAATATACTTCTTTTAATATTGAAATAAATTTATTTAAAAATTCATCATCTTTTTTTACTTCAAAAGAAATAAATGAATTATCAAATGATGAATATATAACAAAATCACACACTGGCAAATTAGTTATTAGTAACCCTAGCTGAACCTGACCATAATATTTATGTCTCTTTCTTAATTCAACATTTTCACCATTAATTGTAATAAATTTCAATGCATTCTTTTGAATTAAGGCTTGAATAGGTTCATTCCTTCCCTTTACTGGGCACTTTATTTCTAAAAGAGAAGTTGGAATATTTTGTTTTATTATTATTCCATCAGGAGTATATCCTAACCATGGCAAAGCTGGTGAAATAATCAGGCCAAATTCTACAATTCTCTTGCCAGAATGTGAAGAATACAATTCTCTTGCATCATTTTCATGCAAGAGGCCATATGCTGTATTTTCATTCCCCCCAAAAATATTGCGCTTTGCAAATTTTTCATTCCAATTCGGATTACAATTGAAATGGTATGTATAAAAATTATAGCATATACTGCCTGTAATTCTTTTGTTCCTCTCGTTCTTCCATAATATTTTATTTACTTTACTTTTCACACAAATTCTCTTACATTCTTCATTGGTGACCATAACTTTATTTTTATAATAACAAATCAAACTTTTTGGCAAATCTTCTAAACCAATATCTTTAAAAGTTAATATTAATTCTTTTTTTATAACACTTGTATAATACAATTTATTATAATTAAAAATTCCAATTGAACTAAAATTTTGAATGTGGGAGAAAATAGCATTGACATTGACATCATTATTCTGATTAACTCTGTTGATATCTCTCTTTATTTCTGATAATGATGCAAGGCTTTTCCGTCCTTTCCTATAATAATAATAATAATAAACTTAATATATTATACCAATCATTTCATATAATTTAAAACAGATAAAACTTACATATGTTTTGTTAGTGAAGAATTTGGTGTAACTTCTGTTAAAATGTTTAAGCATTTTTCGGGATCAATATTTAAAGCTAGTCTGCTAATATTAGATCCAGTATGGCAAAATTTCTTTATTGGTATTATTTCGTAATTAGAATGGACATTTTCTTTTAATCTGTTCCAAGAACATTCCAAGTCTGTCTTAGATAATTTCTCAAGTCCTTCTATGTTATTTCTAAAGATAATGATAATTCATTATTAATTAAGCAACTACCCAAACTTTTTTCATATATTAATTTCTATAATTAAATAAATTCATCATAATTTTAGTTATTTATTTATTGTTACAAAAATGAGGTAAAACAATAAAAAAGCAAGTGGAAAGAATGTAGCATAATAACTAAAACGTAAAGAATTACTAGATTACGATATATTGAATCTAGAAATGAATATAAACATTAAATCTTAAAAAAAACCTAATTAATTAACCTTCAATACTAATTAGCTACTTATATTACACTAAAATACGTACAGGCCTCGGAGTCGCTCACTTTTCTCACTTGTACTCACTTTTCTGAAGTATCCTCTTTTCTCACTTTTTTGGTCATTTCCACGTGTTTAAAAATTAGGAAGATGTGGGACCAATCAAAAATAGTTTTAAAGCCAGACGATCTGCCGTATNAAAATTCATCATCTTTTTTTACTTCAAAAGAAATAAATGAATTATCAAATGATGAATATATAACAAAATCACACACTGGCAAATTAGTTATTAGTAACCCTAGCTGAACCTGACCATAATATTTATGTCTCTTTCTTAATTCAACATTTTCACCATTAATGGTAATAAATTTCAATGCAATCTTTTGAATTAATGCTTGGATAGGTTCATTCCTTCCCTTTACTGGACACTTTATTTCTATTGATAAAAGAGAAGTTGGAATATTTTGTTTTATTATTATTCCATCAGGAGTATATCCTAACCATGGCAAAGCTGGTGAAATAATCAGGCCAAATTCTATAATTCTCTTGCCAGAATGTGAAGAATACAATTCTCTTGCATCATTTTCATGCAAGAGGCCATATGCTGTATTTTCATTCCCCCCAAAAATATTGCGTTTTGAAAATTTTTCATTCCAATTCGGATTACAATTGAAATGGTATGTATAAAAATTATAGCATATACTGCCTGTAATTCTTTTGTTCCTATCGCTCTTCCATAATATTTTATTTACTTTGCTTCAACACATATTCTCTTACATTCTTCATTGGTGACCATAACTTTATTTTTATAATAACAAATCAAACTTTTTGGCAAATCTTCTAAACCAATATCTTTAAAAGTTAATATTAATTCTTTTTTTATAACACTTGTANAAAAGTCTAACGAAATAGGAATAACGATGACGTCATTCTCGTTTAACTCGTTCGACTTTACGAACGTACCCAATGTCAACTTTACATTCCAAAGATAAAGCTTTTCTTTTCTTGTTTGATGCAGAAGAATTAGTTCTACTTCGTTTGGATGATATAGTAGAGTCTCTCGAGTCTCCGTAGATATAACAAACACAGAAATAAATAACACAAAATAAATTGTAGCTATATGTGGATTCCGCGCGACACATCCGAAGATGTAAGCCGAACAATAGTGTGGGGGGAGTGAGTAATCAAGGGTTGCGTGGCGCTCAAATAAAAGACGAATCGACGAGATTTGAAAATCGCGTAAGTCGGGGTATTACTATAATTCATTTTACATTGGCGACTAACAAACGACCCAGATAGAGTAGCCATTTTATAAAAATACAGCGTTCTCTATAGTTCATGAAAAACGCGATGACTCCCGAATCAAACTTCGAATGTGACTTTGATATGTAACTTTTTTAGCTAATATGATATGTAAATAACAGTAATTAATAATGTTTTTATTGTAAAAAAGTTTTACAAACCTACATAATTAATTAAGTCCAGCTGGAATTGTCAGAATTGCTATTGTTCTCTCGCATTTGCGACACCTTTTATCGTTAGATGTGGTGGTTCTAGGAAATCATATCCTTAATAATCAAAGTTTTTAAACTGTAATATTTGCTTACTTAATTCATTCAATATTGCCAATTCAATCAAATAAAAACAGTTGAGTCGTAATGAGAAAGTAGTAAAAAACAAAGACTCATCACCGGCTTAAACCGACAGCAGCTTAATTAAAGCGGCTCACTATTGCAAACAATGTTTATTATTGGTTTAGATAATTTATTAATATTTTATTATTAATAAAATGCTAATTATAATGAACAAACTGTAATAAATTTTGTTATTACTTTTCATCTCGTATTTATTTACATCAGAAATGACAACAAAACGATACTCATCAGGTGGCGCTGGCGAACGAAAATACGATCGGTCCACCATTTGTTTATTGTAGTATCACGTGTGTTTTGTTAATGTTTTAAAATTCATGGATTGAAGTAAATAGAGATGGCTCTATTGAATCCTGAACCTGGCAAAGAACATTTGAACGCCCAGAAGGATGTGGTCCTTCAGGAATTAAGGACTTTTTTGAATGGTGCCACTCATTCGGCTAAAGTTCGTAATGTTGATGTGGCTCGATCTGCTATTTATTTACTTAAAACTCTACCGGCGGCTCGAGATGCCGTATTGGAACATATGTATAACCTGTTTGACGAGACTGTCAACAGTTACGTGTTAAAGTATGAACTGGAGGATCGTTTAGTAGATTCTTTAGCAGATGATGATGTAGTGGAAGAGATACACGGAGTTTTGTCTCAGTTTATTAGTAATGGACCGGATTATTGGGCTTCTATCATATCTTCTTGGGCCTTAGACCTTTTAGGTTATTTGAGTAGTAAATATGCAGATAAATGTGTAGCGCAACATGCTTCCAACTTACCTAAAGTGCTACAATTTTGGATGGCTTGTAAGCCCACCAGAGTTCTTATTGAGATGACTACCCAGTGTTTGTCTACTGTCATTGGCAGCAATCCGGATATGTGTATTGATGCGTTGTTGGAAACTTCGGTGCAACATTCTCCTCATTTTGATTGGGTAGTTGCACATATCGGTTCGTGTTTTCCTACTACTGTCGTAACTAGAGTTCTTGCTTGTGGTCTAAAAGCATTTTGCCTACCTCAGGATGCTGTTGATGATTCTTCTGGTTCTGGAAAACATGTTTCAAAGATAGCATCTGTTGTTGGAATCTTGGGCCATCTAGCTGCACATCACAGCGATGATATCAGAAAGGCTCTTCTCTCATTATTTCATGAAAGTTTTTCTGACAATCCTACTAAAGAACAACTTGCTACGGTTCCATTTTTATTGCATCTGGCATCAATGTCAGAAATGCTGTCACATGTTATTACTTCAGAATTTGTAACAGTGGGTAAGAATATATTTTAATATAAAGTCAAATATTTAGATATACAAATGTAATGATGAATGAGTTATTTTCTTTTTTCTATTCATTAAAAACTTTTCATAAGAAAATAATTCCATATATTCCATTTCTGCAAAGCAATACAAAACTGTCATTAAACAAGAATACATGAAAATGAATTTTCATAATTATCTGCTATTTGAAAATATTCTTTATTCTCAAAAAAGCATGACGTAGCATCAATTTTATTATAGCACAGTCTTTGTTAATATTAATGATAATAAATATGAACAAAGGCCAGATAATTAAGATTTAAAATTACTAAATTAAATAAATAACCTAGTATAGTCAGTGCAGTAAGATTCAAGCTCTGAATGAGGGGTTTTGTACCTGAATTGTAGATCCTCTATACAAGCAAAAAAAGGAATGTATTACTCTGTGTATATTCATTTGAGATTTTAAAAATATCTTGACTCAAAAAAAATATTATTTTTTATAATTATATAGTCATCCAATAATGAATAGAATTTTAAATTTTAGTGAAAATGTGTTTTCCATTTGTTTATTATTTATTCTGAAATAGGAAGAGTATTATATAATTTTATATAATACTCCTATTTCATATGGTTAACTTTATAAAAACACATAAAATAAATATTATTTTAGATAATAATGTTTAGAAATAAAATTATGTGATATTACTATATTAAAATATGAAACTAAAAGAAGAAAATTTCTAATTTCTTCAATACAAAATTAATTGCAAACACTTATTGAATAAAAGCATAATTATATTTGTTCATTATTATATTATAGAATAATTGTGTTAAAATGTATCTTATATTTATAAATTTTGAGGTTTTTACAAGATATGTACAACTTTTTAATGAATGAGAAAGAGTATACTAAGTTGAGCAAAAACCATGAATCTATAAAATACCTATTAAATACCACTTTATTATAGAACTTGAGGAAAATCATGTAAATATATTGGATATATTTGATATCAGTTGAAAGGTGTTAAGATTATATTGTTTATTTCGAGTGTTTTGCTTAGAACTGAACTTATATAATTAAATATGTAAATGCCAGAGTTTTGGCCCATAACTTGGTTAAACTTTTATAGCCCAAAAATCTAACATTTATATATTTAGTTATTAAAATGTGAGCTTACATCATGTGGTCAGGAAAAAACCAGATTTTTTCAATATAAAGAAAATGACAAAAGATATTCAAATGAAATTTTTTGTTTTATTCAATGTAATCTCCTCCCATGTCAATACATTTTTAGGATTGCTCATATAGCCATTGAATATTCTTCCGAAGTTATGGTGCTGAGGATGCTCGTCACATTCTTCTGGAATTCCTCTAGTTCCATGTTGTGCTGCCACTTGAGCACCAGTTTCAACTTGGGGAATAAAGCGAAGTCTGCTGGGACCAAGTCCAGTGAATAGGGGGGACAATCAAGTACAGTTATGTCTTTTTTGGCCAAAAACTGGCATGCCTTGAGACAAGTGTGGGAAGGTGCATTATCATGCAGAAGGATTCAGTTTTTGGCTCGGTATATGGCAGGCTGTACTTGGTGAATTCAGACAAGCAGGAAGACATTTCATAACACCAAGATAGTAGTTCCTGGTACCTGTAGTGCCAGGCGATACTAACTTGCAGTGAATTATTTCCTTTGTGTTAAACATGATGATGAGAAGCATCATGACTTGCAATTTCTGCAGCCTCAATTTCTTGGGCTTTAGTCTGTTGGGACCAAGCTGCGCAGTGCTCTGTCACGGTTTGTACTCGAAACACCCATGTTTTGTCACCCATCACAATATTTTGCAAGATCTTGTGATCTGCCTCAACCTCTACAACAAAATTCTCAGAAGCAGCAATTTGATGCTCTTTTTGCTCTGCAATGAGTTTGTGTGGAACAAACTGCACACACAACTTTCACTTCCCCAAATCTTGATGAAGGATTGTCCATCTTCAATACCCCCAGTCTCTGCAATTACCAGATGCTGTATGTCATGTCCTCAGCCAGAAGCTGATGGACACGCTTGATGTTTCCAGGAGTTTGCGCAGCTTGACTTGTCCCTGGACGAGGATCATCTTCCATGCTGTGTCAGCCTTCACAGAAATGCTTGTGCCACTGGAACACTTGCATGTGACTCAGAGCTTGTCTCAAACAATTTCTGGAGTTGTTCACATGTTTCTGTGGCTGGCCTGCACTCCATCACTGCAAATTTGATTAACAACCGTTGCTCTGTTTTTGAAGATTCCATTTTATCAATAATGTATGACACAATAACATTACCACGTTTGGCAAACATGTTACAAAAATGAATTGTGATATTTAAATGCAACAACTTCCATAGCAATGACAAATATCCCTGCTTTGAATAAACCAATCAACACATTTGTGCTGTCCTCTATGGAGCAACAGTAGCATTAATCCGATTTTCTCCCAACCACACAGGGTAGATATAACTTATATATGAACTCTAGTTATTATGTAAAATAATTGTTAATGACTTTTGGATATGGATATCAATGAAATAATTCCATGTGCATCCAAGGTATGCTTAAAAAAGTTGAACAGCTATTCAAATGAAATTTATTTGTAGGACAGCAATGGGAATTTATTGGGCTACAATTTTTTCAAATTGCAGTCAAATAAATAGACATTCTTTTCAAAACATGTACCATGTAATTCTAATTTAAATACATCTATATAACATCAAATTTAAAATGCACTTTTTAAACATGTTTTTGAACTTAAAATTAGGATGATAATTTTTGAAGCAGTTCCTCTNTAATAATCAGTCTTAATTTAAAATAAATATAGATTTATTTCCTAATATTTCTTCCAATTTCTGTATTTTGTTATATCAATTAAAACATATTTTAATTTAGTCTTAATTTATTTATTACTCTCTATGTTGTTTTTACAAACATATCATCAATATATTTTTTTATACTACTAAAATTAATGTTTTATAACAAGAAATTAATTCTAATATAGTAGTTCATAATCTATAATGAAATTTACAGTGAATATTTAATATTGATAGTAATAGGTTAATATTACTGCATGTTTTTGCATATTAATTAATCAATCAACAAAATATTAAAAATGTTGTGAAGTTGTTTAAGACAATAACTTACTTCTAATCTGTTCAAAAGTTATTATTTAGCTGTTTGATTAAAAAACTGCTAATAGATTTGATATTTAATATAAATCTAATAGAATACTTTTTAATTGCAGTAACACCAGAATTGCTACAGAAATTATCTTTGCAAGTTAATCAATGGAAATCCTCTCAAATTCCTGGCACAGGAGGACTAATACAATTAATCTTACATTTGCTATTAAAAAGTAATGAAGGAAGTAAAGTAATTAAATGTTTGTTGAAAATAGTTACCACTATGGATTCCAGCAATCCTATTAATAAAACAGTAAGTTATATCTTAGTTGTTTTAAATAGTTACTAACATCAAATACTGATTTTCAAATAAGTTATTCAGCAGTAATATTGATAATTTTGAGATAATAAAGTTATTACAGTAGAACCTCGTAAACTCGGCCTAATGTGGACCGAAGGGTGGCCGAGTTTGTGAAAATGCCGGGTTATCGGGAATGGGGTTAAAACATTCTTCTGGAATTCCTCTAGTTCCATGTTGTGCTGCCACTTGAGCACCAGTTTCAACTTGGGGAATAAAGCAAAGTCTGCTGGGACCAAGTCCAGTGAATAGGGGGGACAATCAAGTACAGTTATGTCTTTTTTGGCCAAAAACTGGCATGCCTTGAGACAAGTGTGGGAAGGTGCATTATCATGCAGAAGGATTCAGTTTTTGGCTCGGTATATGGCAGGCTGTACTTGGTGAATTCAGACAAGCAGGAAGACATTTCATAACACCAAGATAGTAGTTCCTGGTACCTGTAGTGCCAGGCGATACTAACTTGCAGTGAATTATTTCCTTTGTGTTAAACATGATGATGAGAAGCATCATGACTTGCAATTTCTGCAGCCTCAATTTCTTGGGCTTTAGTCTGTTGGGACCAAGCTGCGCAGTGCTCTGTCACGGTTTGTACTCGAAACACCCATGTTTTGTCACCCATCACAATATTTTGCAAGATCTTGTGATCTGCCTCAACCTCTACAACAAAATTCTCAGAAGCAGCAATTTGATGCTCTTTTTGCTCTGCAATGAGTTTGTGTGGAACAAACTGCACACACAACTTTCACTTCCCCAAATCTTGATGAAGGATTGTCCATCTTCAATACCCCCAGTCTCTGCAATTACCAGGTGCTGTATGTCATGTCCTCAGCCAGAAGCTGATGGACACGCTTGATGTTTCCAGGAGTTTGCACAGCTTGACTTGTCCCTGGACGAGGATCATCTTCCATGCTGTGTCAGCCTTCACAGAAATGCTTGTGCCACTGGAACACTTGCATGTGACTCAGAGCTTGTCTCAAACAATTTCTGGAGTTGTTCACATGTTTCTGTGGCTGGCCTGCACTCCATCACTGCAAATTTGATTAACAACCGTTGCTCTGTTTTTGAAGATTCCATTTTATCAATAATGTATGACACGATAACATTACCACATTTGGCAAACATGTTACAAAAATGAATTGTGATATTTAAATGCAACAACTTCCATAGCAATGACAAATATCCCTGCTTTGAATAAACCAATCAATACATTTGTGCTGTCCTCTATGGAGCAACAGTAGCATTAATCCGATTTTCTCCCAACCACACAGGGTAGATATAACTTATATATGAACTCTAGTTATTATGTAAAATAATTGTTAATGACTTTTGGATATGGATATCAATGAAATAATTCCATGTGCATCCAAGGTATGCTTAAAAAAGTTGAACAGCTATTCAAATGAAATTTATTTGTAGNTTCTACTGCGCTATTTTAGATGCGATTTTTTGTTTTTATCTGCGTTGTAGTAGGGTATGCCATGAGAATGTACACTAAGAAGGGATTTTTAGAAATTTCCCCGCGGGGGGTGAGGGAGAGAATATAGTTTTCATCGAGTACTTAGGTGTATTAAATTAATAACATTTCAGACATTGTTATAAATATTTTTATCCATTTCGATTTTAAAAATGTTCGAACCGTTTTAAATTCGAATTTGTTATTGCATATTGGTTCGATTATAGAACGATTGTAAACGTTCCAGGAAATTGATCAAATTGAAAATAGTTTGTTTGATTCTCTGCAATTCTCTTCAGCGGTAGGTGTTATATAACAATTACTATGGTTATTTAAATATTGAATGTAAATGTGGTTTGCTTGCAAAACCTCTGCGGACGAAGTCGCGGGTAACAGCTAGTCTGTAATATATTACAACTCTCAATATCATCCCAAATCAATATTCTATTATTTCATATTGTTAGACTTGACCACATAATAAAGCAAAGAAAAATACAATAATATTTCAATTTTTTGTTTATATTGTCATATAATAACATTATTTTTCAGTCTTTTTGTTCACAACATTACTATTGTTCATTTCTAAAGCTATATACAGAGTATTTCACTTTTAAGATATACAGTTGAACCTCACTACAGCAATATTTTGGGGACCAGGATTTTAGTTATACCAGTGTTATTATTATAGTGAAGTCTTGAAATTTAAGAACTGAAATCATTAAGAAAGTAAAGATTAGTTTAAATATTAATCACTACAGTTTAAATAATGTTCTCTAATTGGTTCTGAATTATTTATTAACCAGGAAATTGTAATACATTGTTTTGAACTTTATGTTGTCTTAAAAATTTGTTAAATTTTTTATTTTGTAATTTTGCTTTGTCTTCTCGATTATACTGTATTTTTCTTAGATAAGATTGAACTGTGCCCTACTGTAGATTTGTACAAGCCGTACTGTCCAGCAACATCAGACATCTTCTGCCCACTCTCTACCTTTGCTATTATACTCTCATCTTTTGAAAATAAAAACCGATGCAAAACTTAACAGTGCCATCTGACAATCTTGCAAATACAGTTGTCCCTTGATAATCCGACAGGTATGGGACCAAAGGTGTGTCAGATTACCAAAAGTGTCCGGATTACCGAAAATAATTACATATTTTGCATTATTTTGCTAGCAGTAACTTACAATATTCTCTACTCCAACTGTTCGAACAGAACTACTCACATAAAACACACGAAATGTGTGTCATCGAGTAAGAATTGGATGGGGAGATTCACATCGCAACATGCTTCTGTGCAAGCAGACACGTAACAGGGATGGGTACCTTGATGGGAGGTGCATCGGACTACTGAGCATGTCGGATTAAAAAACGTCGGACTATAGAAGGACAACTGTACTATAAAAGAATTGTTTCTGTCAGAAAAATAAAAGGCTGGAATTACAAGGGAGAGTTTCAAAGTTCAGAGGAATACTATCCAATTGGTATATACCAGGTTGAGTGTCGATGTCAACGTCTCCCATGCTCCAAAAGTTTTGAATTGTTGTCTGAAGATATGGAAAGACCTGTTATTTTACATCACTTCTTGTGTTTGTTCTGTGAGGTGTTTGTTGTCCAAACATAAAAATCTTTCGCGAACGTGTTCGTTAACCAAACTATTTGTTAACCGATCACCCACTGTATTTATATGTATTTATTTCTATGTTAATTTTAATATACTTAATTTATTTTAGTTATTAGTTTCTTTTGCATAGTTATTGTATATTCTAGAAGAATTTTAATTAGTTTTCAAAAACATATATATTTTATTCATTTTTTAGCTTAAGTTTTTACTTTTTAAGTTTCTGTTTGCTTTTTTTTTTTTGCATTATACCATCATCAGTGTTCAGTAGAATTTTAAGTTGATGATTAGACGAATTAACCAAGTAACAGTATTGTAATTTTTTTGATTTATTCTACATTTAGCATATAACTTTATTCTATTTATTAAAATATCTATATATATCTGTTCTAT